TGTAGACTATAATAGGATTAATGACAAAAATCTATTTTTTTTTTTATCTTATATTGCTAATCATTGAAGTCTGCTTAGTTTCTCTCTATCTTCATGATCTTATTTAGCTTTAGCTCCAAACAAAAAAGAGGGTAAACAAACTGCTATAAAGAGTAACAGTCTACAAATTATATCAGCAAAATTTGACATGTTAGTAGGTCTTGTCTTGCTTATCATTTTTGATTATTTAAGTTTCTATCTAACTTTTATAATTTTATCATATCAGGCAAAACGCCAAAAAAATGGTAAAAATTGTAATTAAAGGGCAATAACTCCAACAAGGAGTCGTCAGACAAGTTCCGCTATTTGTCTTAATTGTAGATCTTGTCTTGTTGATCATTTTTGCAATGTAAAGTTTCTCTCTATCTTTTATAGTTTTCAAGATAATAGGCAAAAATCGAAAAAAAGTGGTAAAATTTGTCATTTAAGGGCAATAACTCCTACAGGAAATCGTCTGACAGTTTTGACGTATACAGATAATTTGTAGAGCTCAACATTCGGAACAATCTAACCCCTTTCAGATTTCCTCTCTCTTTATAACAGTTATCAGAATGATAGACAAAACTTGCATTTTACCCCATATGTTCTATTATTTGCCATGCCGGCCATCTTTGTTGGCAAGCAGAGTCATCGGACATATTTTTTAAAACTAAATACCCTAATGATGATTGTGGCCAAGTTTGATTCTATTTGGCCCAGTAGTTTCAGAGAAGAAGATTTTTGGAAATGAATACAAAAATTTACGAAAAATTGTTAAAATTTGACTCTAAAGGGCAAAAACTCCTTGAGGGGTCAATTGACAGTTTTGGTCATGTTGACTTATTTGTATATCAAACTTTGCTTAAAATTATTGCTGTTTACAAATTATTTCTATCTATAATATTATTCAAGATAATTTCCCAAAACTGCAAAATTTCCTTAAAATAACTAATTTAGAGACAGCAACCCAACAACGGGTTGTCTGATTCGTCTGACAATATCAGGGCATATAGAACTTCACTTGATGAACATTTTTACCAGTTGTCAAATTTACTCTAAATGCTTTAGTTTCAGAGATATAAGCCATAAACTGCATTTTACCCCTATGTTCTATTTTTAGCCATGTCGGCCATTTTGGTCGGCGGGCGGGATCATCGGACACATTTTTAAAAGTAATTACCTTAATGATGATTGTGGCCAAGTTTGATTCAATTTGGCCCAGTAGTTTCAGAGGAGAAGATTTTTATAAAAGATTACAAAAAAATATGAAAAATTGTAAAAAAATTGACAATAAAGGGCAATATCTCCTTAAGGGGTAAATGACCATTTTGATCATGTTGACTTATTTGTAGATCTTACTTTGCTGTATATTATTGCTGTTTACTGTTTATATCTATAATAATATTGAAGTTAATAACCAAAAACTGCAAAAGTTTGGCTTGGTTGGCGGGCTCGGTCGTCGGACACATTTTTTAAACTAGATACCCCAAAAATTATTGTGGTCAAGTTTTGTTTCTTTGGTTAAGTAGTTTCAGAAGAGAAGATTTTTGTAAAAGTTAACGGACGACGACGGACGACAGACGCCAAGTGATGAGAAAAAATCACTTGGCCCTGTGGGCCAGGTGAGCTGAAAAGGCGCTTATTCTACGACTGTAATGGACTGGCATAACTGCAGGCTAATTTTTTTTGGGGGGGCAAAAACAATACCTTAATCTCCACACAATAATATAATTATCCTACAAAATTAATATTCTGAAATAGAATAACTCCTTTTGCACAATACAGGGCGTGCTTGGTAATTTGTTTACTTAGCAATACATTCCGACGAAAAAGAAGAAATAAACGATGAGTTGGAAGATTTACGAGAAGGTCATTGCCTGATTGGTGATATCAATGTCTATTTGAAATATCTATGTTATATTCAACACAACACACTCCTTCCTTACTTACTAATTTTTTATTGCGGATAATTGATGCTTTAGCTTAGATTGATGAGGGTAATGATATTTAACTTCCTGACGACAAAATGTGAAAAGTCTTCGTAGAATGTATAGTTACATTAGGCAACTAACTTTTTACCCCATGAGTTTTAATAAAAAATAATATGATTGACAATCAAAATTCCAATGACATTTGTGCTTCATACTCGGAAGTACGAAAATATCTCACTAGCTTGAAACAATTGAAGAATGAGGTCAAATGATACAGGAGGAATCTTATAATATTGACATCAATGTTGAGACAATTGACAATTGATGGTAACATACCTTTCACTCTATACAAATTACTGTCTTTTGGTATTAAAAAGAAACATCAAACGCGATCATAAGATACTCTAAGGTTAAACTTGAACTAAAAAGATCGTTGACGGTTGATGATTCTAGTACCATTCTTACGGCATGCTTGCCAATCGACAAGCTAAAAAATGATCTTAACGTTATTTTCCTATGCTTACGGGGTGATTCAGTTTTGTTTAAATAAAAACAAATTGATTCATGTATCTTACGTGTCGTGGATATTTCTCTGACTTGATTCAAGACAAAACTTAGATCAAATTCCCATGTTGCAGAACACACCAAAAAACTGTTCCAATTCAGACCGGTTTCACAGAAGGCTATCATAATGAAAATTTGAATATACTCCAGCTTATGATCCGATCACGTACACTAAACCTAGCAACATGAAAACAGTTTATTGTATATATTACTATACATATGAAACAATGTTTAATCTTGGTGTTCCAGAATTAACACTGCCTTTTAGCTCTCATGGTTTCTTTAATTAAAGCATTTCTTAAATTGATTCAAAGACAGTAACTGTATAAAAAGAAATGGACCAAATGTAAGAAAGGCGTTCCTTGCCAGTCATAGTTCATGTTTCATGTTTTGTCTCATCTAAAAGCACTGTCGGCATTGTACATTTCTTAACTGTTTTTAAAGACCATACATTTGTTTGAAGAATTGAGAACACATACCGGTTTTCTGCGAGGGACCTTTGACAACAGAATTCCTTTAAGACCTTATTTCAACATGCAATGGTAAAGAGCTTGAAATGAAAGTAATGTCTTCAACACAGAATTTGGCTTATACAAGTATTTGATCGTGTGGATGGTCTGCGGGATGTAAGAATCAAGCAAATTCTGAAGAAGACGACGATGATAACGATATCTGGTCAAAATAGGTTAAGGCAAAACTAATGAGGAAATTATTTCGTACAAATATATAACAGGGACCTAATGGAGGTTGGATACAACTTTGACTATGCGGAATGTTTAAATCCAGGGATTAACAATGAGAAAAAAAGCATGTTAATCTGAAATGTTGTACACTTTGCATGTTGAAGGAGCCTTGCAGCAACTTTCTCTGAGGAGTCCATAGGTGCTGATATCAAATTCCTACCCATACCATCTCTATAGTCATAACAGAAAAAAATGGCTAACCTATCAGTACTTCGTTTAAACCATTTTATTTAGTTACCTAGTGAAATATGTGTCGCTGACAGTCGGTATATAATTAAACAGAAACACATTTGCGTTCGATTTTTTGTTAATGAGAATTTAGAAATGTATCATAAAATGTATATGTAATGTAAACAATATCAATTGAAAGCCGTTTTTTTTTTTTTTTTTGCTTTTCTTGTTGCCCACATGAATTTCGATCCATAAAAAAAAATATTTGTGAATACAGTATTTTTAAATTGGCTCGCGTTAAGCAACCAAAAATCATCCAATTAATGAAATAGGCTACTAGTACATTTCGTATCAGAATGCAAGTTCTTGATATTGCTAATCTTCTTAGTCGCATTATTCACATACATTAAAACACGCAAAAGTGTATGCGTTTACAATAAGTTATGCTTATATAGCAACATTTTATGCGTTATCTATATAAGTTGCTAATATTTTATTTTGTTCTTGAATGTTTTGTACCGGCATTAAAATGCTGTTAGTTTAGTACCTCAGAATGTATACAGTCACACACATTTTTATCTATAATAATAAAAAGCAGTGAACATTTGTTTTTTTTTTTGTAAAAAATGTATTGTTCTTATAATACAATAGGATGCATTATTTCTAGTATAATAAGAGCAATTTAAGTTCGCAATTGATAAATATCTTTTCGGCATCCATTAAAGGTAAGAATAGTTTCTTTAGATCTTGAATAATATGTACCAACATTCAAATTCAGTTTTTTTTGTACAAAGGGATAAAAGAGGGACGAAAGATACCAGAGGGACAGTCAAACTCATAGATCGAAAACAAACTGACAACGCTATGGCAAAAAATAAAAAGACAAACAGACAAATAATAGTACAGATGACACAACATAGAAAACTAAAGACTACGCAACACGAACTATGATTCGAATTATGTTTAAAATTGCAAATTTAGTTGGTGGCATCTATATAGCATATCAGTATTTTGTCAGGTTCTTGAATATTATGTACCATAATTAACATTCAGTTTAGTGTGTATCATAGAATACATTGTTGTGCATACATTTTCACCTATAGAAGACTTTGATTACTTAAATTGTTGTCATCAATAATGGAATTGCTAATATTTCTTTTTTTTAAAATCATGTACCTGCATAAAAAGTATCTCCTTTTGGTACCTCGGAGAAGATTGTTTTACACAAATTGCTAGCTATATCAGTCTCAGAATGATTTGTTTGACATTAGATTGAAGCAATTTAATTTTTAAATAAGGAGTTGTGTGGTCGGCATCTATTAAGAGAGAGGCGAAAGATACCAATGGGACATTTAAACGCATGTCGATATTAAACTTAAAAAGACATGTCAAAAAACGAAAGGACCAAAAGACGAACATTAGTATACAAAACAAAAAATAGAAAAAAACGAATCCCATTAAAAAACAAAATACGTGTGCTTATGTTTTCTCTTTTTTTTCATATAACATACCGTCATTATTTTAGTGCTCTTTTGGAAACCTCAGACTAGATTATTTGACACAAATTGTATAGTCACACACATTTTTGTCTACAATAATACAAAAAAACAAACATTTCTACTTTTTCTTCAAAAATGTTCTGTTCTTATAATACAATACAAAAGTTTCATACTCAATATAATAAGAGCAATTTAAGTTTGCAATTGATAAATATATTTTCGTTATCCATTTAAGGTACGAATAGAAAACGCCGATATTAGAATAAACTAACTGAATATGTGCACACAGAATTAATGTGAGCTTTAGTTATATAATGGGTTGTCGGTAGCCATTTGTAACACTGATAAAGAGGTCATGTCTTCCTTTTACCTCGCCGCACAGAACATGAATTATCTATACTGTTTTATTTGCATACAAACAAGAACTGTTGTGAGATAAACAATAAGTTTGAATATATATACCTATATCCGTATTTCTGAATCTTAGTACTGAGTTGGGCCGGATTGTCACCACACGTGTAAAGAATTCTGTCATCTTCAGCAAGAACGTCAACATCATGTATTACTATACAGTCATATTTCATGTCTTTTATTGCCTCGATAAAGCCAGTATTTATAAGCATCCCTTTGTTAAACAGATTCCCAGGAGTCTGCAAAATAAGGAAAAGTGAAATTACTCAAATATATGTATATCCTAAGTGTTCAAATCGTGATATAACCCAACGGGTAGAGGATTAAAATTGCATACCTGTGTGGCGCATTATAACATTATACTTGTATCTAACGCTAACATTAGTTCCATGTGTAATACAACATACTTTTGATATTCCCCTTTTTAAAAGACATTTCTGAGATTAATGTGACATTGCAACTGTTCTCAGGACACTTACTGGCAAGGTAATTTTGCCATTTGATAAGGGACGTTCCGATTTGAATTTTCCATGTTTTTTTGTTTTTTGTTTTTTGTTATTTTACTTATATTATATACTTCATGTTTCGATAACTGTTTATGACACTGGTAAATTAACAACATGCTATAGTTGAAGTAATTTTTAATCAATATTTTGTATATGCAGCTGTATTATTCTAAATGCCCTTTATTTCCATTTTTAGTGAAACCGTATTCTTTACCACAGAAAATCAGTTTCTAGAACATAATTTTTGTTATTTCCAATAGTTCGTTTATATGTCAAATAAATGTTGCTAATAATAAGTAGATGATAAACTCAGCATAAATATCAGATAAAAGAGAGGCGAAATATACCAAACGGACATTCAAACTCCTTAGTCGTAAATAAACTGACAACGCCGTGATAAACAATAGATTTACAATATTTATAAATCAGAAATTCTCCAAACACGATCAATGATGAGAAATGTATTATTGTTTATTTTAAATAGTTGGTGAATAAAGTTTACGGCATATCTAACATGACAATGCTTCAAGACGTGTAATTAAAGAGACGAAAAACACTATTTTTTTAAACAATTTACGTTTAGATAACTGTCTAGTCAATACATGAAGGAGAATTGAACACCAATCAACTAATATTGCCTGCTTCAATTTATATCTTTTAAAGAAAACAAATCGATACTTACCTGCTCAACAACGTATATCGTAAATTCCAATTGCTGTCGATAAATACGTGGTATAAAGTTATTAAGGAAAATCCGTAGTTGTGGTTCTCTGTCACGGAATGGAACAATAACTGCAATTTTTTGATACGGTGAACAGTTTTGGGGTTTAAAATGGCCCTTCTTCATAAATCCAAACACTGTACTTAGCGTTTTCAGGTCAAATAGTGTCCTGTTGAGCGGTTCACGTCCAACTAAAACCATTACAAAGGATGGATAAGCTGAATTATAATTTATTAATGGCTATAACTTAAAAACTACCATTTGGAGGGCCAAGGGTTAGGTCTCACAGAGAACACAAGTTTTTACAGATATCCTAATATTCAAGGAGGATTCTACCAACAAAGCCAATATTAAAAGACAAGACAGCATTTAAGGTGAGAAGACTGAATTTTCCTAAATAGGAAAACAAATAACCTATGAATATTGGATAAAGTAGAAAACTGATATTAACTATTTGTCATCCAACTTGTTTCATGCGGTTCCCGTCCAACTAAAATCAACATAAATGCCTGAACAAGCTGAAAGGTACTTTATTGATGGCTATAATTTAAAACTATAATTTTAAAGTCCGAGTGTTTGCTCTTACAACCGAACAAAAATCGAACACATATAAAGTTGAGTGTGAAAATATCTTTGCAAGTCTGGTTTCAGTTTCTATCCTTAAAATATCAATGTATCTCTACTAACAAGTATGTTATATTAGAGCTTAGAGGTAGGTGTAATCGTGGTGTCCGGATTGCCCAAAGAAAGACCTCACTACGGTCGTTCTTTGATTTGATCCATCCTGACACCCCTCGTTGTGTTAAACAACAAGAAACACCCTAAAATATGCATTAACTATAACATGATTGGAAAACCAATATCATCCTTTCTGTCGTAAAGTTTCATACTCAACGGACCATCTTTGTCAATTTCTAAATGTGAGTAAATGCATTTTGGCAGACCTATCTGTATCTGTGGTAGTGTTGATAATGCGATCAAGACAGTATCAACATGCGAAGTTTAACGCATAGCCAATTACATTGCATGACTCTTGATTTGTATTTTATATACAATTATGATAAACAAAAATGAATAAAAGTTTCAATGCTTTTTAAATATTTTGTCACTTATTTGTTATGTCTTTGTTCCGATTGGTCTAGTTTTGTTCTTTTCTTATTAGTACAAATTATTTTGCTGAGAAAAAAATTGCCTTGACTTCAAAACCATTTGTTATTTGTGTATAAGAAATTTGAGTTAATAAAATTCTGCTATCCAGTTACACTTTCGATGAAGCGTTTTAAAAAAATACTGATTATGAATTATGTCCTTGATTATATATGTTGGCAGTTATACAAATTATAAACTGTTCTATTAAGTTGGGGGGAAAAAGACTTTTATCTTGAAATGTTATCTCTTGTACTTTTAAATAAGGCGCCTTCTTTATGTTAGAATCAAAATGTACTTTATACCATTGTATTAAGCAGAAAGTTGATGAACCAGGGTTATGTCAAAGAACGTCTCGTCCTTTTTCTAAAACAAAGATCATCGGAAGATACCAAGACCTTCTTGGTAAATATTATGTATCAAATTCACAAAGAATACATGATGGTCTTGAAGTATAGCTTCTAGGTACTGACGTTGTTTGTCATCTTAATTACGTGTTATGGTGTTTTTTATTTGTCTATGTATATTTCAAACCTTTACTGTTAAATCCATTTTTGGTATATATCTTTTTGGCGTGGCTAGGTACTTATACATCGTGTCATTGTGTTATTGTACTATGGCCATTTTTGTATTCATGTCTTTCATTTTTGCTAATGTACTTTGTCTATAGAGTATATAGATATAAGAAGATGTGGTATGAGTGCAAATGAGACAACTCTCCATTCAGGTTACAATTTGCAAAAGTAAACCATTATAGGTCAAATTACAGCCTTCAACATATGTGTCTATATGCCATTTTGTTTTTCTTTGTTGAAATAGTTATTTGTTTTAATAGTGATTAAGATTATAACACAATGTTGACTGCTGTAACCCAATTTTAGACATGTAACCTATTATGTCTGTTTGTTTTGCTCACACATTGTTGTCAATATAATGGAATTCTATATGACTTTCATACAAGTAAGAGGATTAGCAAGCTATAAACCCAGGTTTAATCCACCATTGTCTACATAAGGAAACTCCTGTACCAAGTCAGGAATATGACAGATGTTTTCCAATCGTTTGATGTGTTTTGAACTTTTGATTTTGCCATTTGATAAGGGACTTTTAGTTTTGAATTTTCATTGGAGGTATTTTTGTTATTTTACTTTTTAATAAATGTAGTATAAAGTACACATATATCCGAATCCAATAATCGCAAAGGTTTCATAGATTTCCTTCTTTCTGCTTTTAGTCTCTCTCTAAGTTTTGATTTGATGGAACATTCTGGATGCAAGCGGATATCAATTTAGCTTACAATCAATGGTTTTGTAATATGTTTTACAATTACAGTGGTGGAATATTGCAAATGTTGTCCCGAGTAGCTAAGATAATTACACTTTGGATAAAATGCATCGTCAAATGAAGTGTAGTTGTGCCCTAGAGTTTTCATGTTTGTCATATGTATATTTTTGCCGGAAAATTGCAAAGTTAAAATCTTTGATAAATCTGCAAAATATATCAACAATTAATCCACAAAAGGATGTGCAGATGTTTCATGTATATGTATAATCAATTCGTTTAACAAGTGTAGAGCTATATATCACGTGGAGCAGGATCTGCTTACACTTCCAGATCACATGAGATCACCCCCGGTTTTTGGTTGTGTTTGTGTTGCTCCGCTGTCACTGGTTTTGTATGTTGTGTTTTCTGTACTGTTGTTGTTCTTTTGGTCTTCTTCGTTTTTTTGCCATGTCATTGCCAGTTTATTTTGACTGTTACAATGTCCCTTTTGTATCTTTCGCCTCCCTTTTCGATCTTCTGCATACTAAAGACATGTATATAGAAAATGTATGTCATATCAACTTCGTTTGCATACTATTGAAATAGCAATGATTGTTTCGGGGGAATATATGGGCGGGTACATACTTTATTTCTAAACTTGGAGATAGCTGTCCATTGTTTTGTGTAACGTGCCTTAAGCTTTTTTTATTTACAATCAGTTTTGTTCATTAGGATTTACTAAAATTATATAATTACAGTTTGATTATTTTAATGGTATTGTTTTAGTTCAGTTTCTCTATTTTATAAACAGCGTCTAGAAATCTTATTCATATAAAAATTGAAAAGATTAACATGTTCTTGTCTTCTAATCAATATTTTAAGAAATCAGAATTCAGAATAACGCAATTCATGTTAAGCATTTCTTTCACAATTTAGATAACTGATTTCTTCTAATTGACAATAGAGTTTATGAAAATAAAGAAATGCATATACAATTTTAAAACAATACCATTTACCATAAGATAAACAAAAACGCTAAACAATAGCATATTACACAATAAACGAAGCGTTGAACGATACCATATACGATACAATAAGTTAAATGCTAAACGAACGCATAAGTTACAAACGCTGACCGGACGTTGAGCAAACGAAGACTTGACGCTATACGAAAAACGCCCTTGCGAATCACGAATGAAGCAAGTGTTAGCATTAACGTTATCAAAACTGTAATGATTTAAATTTCAAGAGTATATCGAGCATACGCATAGTATTAACATGCATTTAATTTATGAACATCAATAACAGGGTTGACCTATTTACGCAAAAAGGTGTTCGAACAGATTTATGAGGAAGAAAAAATGAAATCGACATTATTTGATTTATATGGCGACACTAACAATATAAGTTAGACATTGAGTTTTAATGTCCCTATGGTATCTTTCGCCTCTCTTTAATGAATGTGTTGACCGACACCGTGTTTCTATGTGTCAATTTACTAGCATGTTGTTTTCGGACTGTATCATGATATGCCATAATAATCGACTGATTGGACTGTGGATTCGTTTAGCGATTTCTTCAGTTTGTGTGCGTTACCTTGGTTTGTACTTTCTTAATCGATCTATGAGATTTGAACATTGATAAACCACTGTTGCCTTAAATTATACAGATAATGCAGTCGACAAAATTTACACTTGTCCTCGCTATAAAAATAAAATGAACAATAACTCCTACTTACTTAAATCGTGTGGCGGCCATGGGCAATTTTTCTTCGAAGTGATGTCTTTTTGTTCCAATGTAGATGACATGAATGACATTTGCCTAGCTCCTGTATGGTATTCAAAGCCCTGCTTAACTGCAATTTTTTTTTCGAATTTTCCGTTTGACATTGTAATATTAAAAAATAATAACACAACGTTGAACGCACTAATAATAGTGAATGTAATAAACAGTTCTGAAGGTTGTATAACACGCATCGGACAAGTAGGTGTACTCTAGAAGAAATAAAAAAAAACTTTCTTCATTTATGATCACATTAATACAAATCATCAAATAACCGAAGATATATAACATATAAAGAAAAGATAATTTTTCGGCAAACAAATGAAAAAATATAGAAAAAAAGCATACAAATGAAGAATACAGTAATGAAGATCCCTACCCAGGTATTCATGCATGTTTCAAACACATTATAATCCAAACCAAATGCATCATGTGTAAGTTAGTGACATACATGATGTTTTTTGCGTGTTACCTACCCATGATACTCAGCGAAAAGTAAAATCACAAAAATACTGAACGCCGAGGAAAATTCAAAAAGGAAAGTCCCCAATCAAATGGCAAAATCAAAAGTTCGAACACATCAAACGAATAGATAACAACTGTCGAAGTTTCTCTCACATATGAATATCAGTATTTGTAATACAAGCAGAACAGTATAATATATTATGCAAATTATCATCTGATATACAGATGTATTGTACAAATGCACTAATTTCGTCCTATTGTCCCTAAATGTGTAAATTCATGTTATCACGGTCCTCTCAGAGTTCTAAAATTTTCTACTTTTGAGAATATTTTTCATATCATCTTTTCCAATCTAAACATGTCTGCTTGATCTGCCTCATTTTTCTTAATTATTCAAAGAAGAAACTTGTTAATGATTGTTCATATTAGGTTGACCCTAAAGCTATTCAGCAATAACAATAGTGACTCATGCTTGGCTTTTTTAAGATTAATTGTTTATAGAGAAGATACACATATAATAGAGCTTCAGACCCACAAAATAAATT